GGTGAAGAGTAAGCTTAAATATTTGGAACCGTACTTGTCTAATAAGGTCCAATACATCCACAATCCAGCGCATATCATAGGGATGCAGAAGGTTACCTTTCGCGTTCCTGTGGGACGCCTCGGGATGTGACAAATCGTTGGTATGTTACACGTCGGATTGAGAATGGTCTGGGTTTTATTTAATTAAATTTTTTATTTTTTTTTACATTTTATTCTTTGTTTATGTGAATAGGTCTCTTTATTTTATTCCATCTATGCCTTTAAAATGAAGTGAGAGCTACAGCCTTCCTCATAGTGCTCTGACCCAGCCCATTAGATTTGCAGATGTTTAGATTTGGTTCTTGTTTTCTGACAAATGATCAATTTCTGGAAAACCTCGATTGTAGGCTGGTGAATTGTTATTAACTTGAGTGAGCCATGTTTTGTTCTGCTACTGTGCTAAGTACACACACACACACACACACATACACACGCACACAGGCATAGAGTGATTAACATATGAGAGAAGACAGTATGACCATAAAGAACTGAAAATTGCAGTAGAGTGTCACTCTATACTGAAATAGAATGAGTTGGGGGAGTATTTGCTCTGTATGACCGTTTATCCTGCATTAAAATTAGAATAACACTATATATGTATATATATATATATATATATATATATATGTATATATTTCAAAAAGCATTGTAAATTGTAGGTTGTTAGATGTTAGATACATAAATGTGAGCATTAAAAAAAGTAAATTACAGCTAAACCAAACTTATTTGAAGAAAAATAAGATCAAAAATTGAAATTCAAGTACTGAACAAGTCTCTGACCACCAATATTAATAATGACCCTATTCAAAGTTCTACCAAAAGCACAGATAATGTACTGGCAATGCTGGGAAGGCAACTGAAATCTTCTGGGTGATGGGTGATAAAGGCAGAAACATCAGTGACAAAACCCTGTGGGCAGATTTCATGAATCTTTACTAGATTTGTGGTTTTTGTAATAAAAGCTTTTTTTGAATTGCCAATGATGAAACAAAGACAGGTTATGTTTTGACTGGGTTCAGAATTTGGACCTATTCAACTGTAATTATCGCACACACATATGAAGAATAGTTCTAATTAAGTAAAGGACATGGAGTGGGAGTAAAAGGAAGGGAGGGACTGGTCTGTTCTCATAACCCAAGACCACATTATATGTGAGACATATTACAACTAAGATTTGCCTGTCTCTGTATGATAATGATAGCACTCTCAGTCAGAACAGTATGAGAAATCATTACAAAATGTATTTTTTGCTGTATTTAATTTGCCTGACATTATCCAGCTAATTGGATTGTCACTAAAGTGCGACATTACTTTGAGTACAGCAGGACAGATCACAGCAACTACTGCTATAATTGGGAATATTAGAAAAAATGGAACCCATTTGAATACAATGTTCCAGTTAAGCTTGAAAGTCATTCTGTGATTTGACAAAGTGGGCCCGAAGAATGAAAATTGAATTATTATAGAAAGACATATGTTTTATTACACAGTGAATTTTTCATGAAATGCCAGAGATCAGGTATCATGTGTCATTTCATCAAACTGCACCCTTCCTGAGCTACGGGTAGAGGAGGTAGAGCAGGTCATCTGCCATTGCAAAGTTGGTCGTTTGATCCCTAGCTACTCGAGTCTGCATGCCAAATATCCTTATGCAAGATACTAACCCCACGTTGCTCTCTGATGCATTCATCAGAGTATAAATATGGGTAAATGATAGAAAGTAATGACATAGAAAAAAAAGCATAGAAAAAAGTGCTTGTATGACTGAGGCAAGTTGTGTAAACTGCTCTGAGTGCTTAGACAGAGTAGAAAACTGCCATGAAAGAACCAGTTCTTTTAGAAAATGTGTGTATGAAGTAGCTGGCTGTGCTGGTTGAATATGACTCCTATCAGGAAAAATGCTTCTGGAAATTCTGCTGTTTTTTTCAATGGGTGAAATCGAAATATCCTTCTTTTTTTTTTAACAATTTCTCTGAGCAGTGTATGGTCTGACCTTGGGGTGAATTTCTTGGGGCTTCCACTCCTGGGAAGATTAGCAACTTCCATTTGTGAATAATCTTTCTCATTGTAGAATGAGAGACTTTAAATTATTTGGAAAGAAGCTTCTAACCATTCCCAGATTGATGGGTGGCAAAGACCTGAATGCTTCAGAACAGCAAACTGCAAAAACTTCTGCTTTATATTTACTGATGATCAGTTAATCAAGTGCACCTGATTAGCAGTACCTGGTTGCTAGTTACCCTTGTAATTTCTATGGAAGCAATAAAGTCTACTTAGTTTTTCACACAGTGCTTCTTTGCTTCGGCTTGTGAGTGCCCAATTGCTGAGGATTTTATTTTTAATTATGTCCTGATGTGTAAAGCCTTAATAAAGAAAGAAGGTGTACTTTTTTTTTCATACAGCTGCATTTTATTGACCACAACTATTGAAAACATGGTAAATAATTGTCAGAAGAACAATTGTTACCATACAGAAATTACATTTTTGTACTAGAGCCGTAAAGGCTGGATTATCTCAAAATATTACAGATAGGTCACTTCAGAATCTGGACTCCACTAAAAAATTTTAACAGTTTTTCATTTTGCCTCTGTCCATTTTAAGTAGGCCAGGAGAAGACAGCAACATTTCTGGAAGATGCTTTTTTTTTATCAGAGCTTAAACCTGCATTTGTGGATGGCACAGAGAGCTGTGTTCATAAACAGTGTTTTCTAGAAGTGCTTCTGACCCCATGTAATGATTTACGTGCCAGAATCGAGCTGCATGAGGGCCCAACTATAACAGGCATCCAGTATTTATTTTCAGACTTGTCCCTTGCACGTAGAGATGTGACATTCATAGTCTTCTTGATGAACATTATTCTGAAATGGATTCACAATCTGTAGGTGCGTTTTTTTTTTGTAGATTGGTGAACGGCTGCCTATTTTTCTTGGAGAAACTCTGAGATGTTCTTTTTATACCTGATCATGTTGCCAATTAACCTAATTAGGAGCAAAATCTGATTCCAGTGTTTTTTTTATCAAACTCAAAATATGCCAACAGTTTTTATGATTATGCTCAAACATTTGGGGTTTTTTTTTGTTGTATTTTGAATAGAATATGGGTTTAAGATTTGCTAACCACTGCATCCTCTTTTTATTTACATTTGACAGTATCCCAACTTTTTCACAAGTAGACTATGGATAGTGACAAACGTTTTGTCATTGTGGGAAAAAAAGTTAAATGTAGTAATGCTGCATTGAATCAGTGAAGGCTTCTCTCAGCTGTGAATCTCAAAAGCTTTGTACACATCAGTGGAATTGCTTGTACCAAAAGTAAAATGACTGCAGACAACAATACAAATAACCATTAGTTTAAAATATAGATATAAATTAAACTTGACTAAATCACGAGTGTGATAGATGTGGATTAGGTTATTTGACAGGCTAGTGGTGGGTAGGTGATGCACTCCCTTAATTTTAAGTTTAACTAATAATTTTTAAATATATTTGGTTGTTCTAAGATAGTATTAAATGTTAATTATTAATTAAATAAGTTAATTAAATAATCCATTCTCTGTTTTACTTTATGATGGGGAAAGAAAAGGGGCAGCTAAGGGGAACTGAAGGCTAATGAAAATACGTTAACAAACATTTGTAGCTTTTGTCTTACACAAAAGTTGCTCATGCTTAGGACCAGTCTCGTGTACAGCCAAGATCACCCTGAAATAACATCATTAGATTGCATGTAGTTTGTTGTGAGACTGTCACTGTTGAAGTTTAGCATTTTGTAATGATGAAAATCAAGGAAATTTTAACAGCAGGAATCCACCGGGAAATTTTAGGTGTAGGTGTAGTCATAAAAAGATGTTGGAAGACATGTTTAAAAGCGTTGTTCCTTTGGGTCTCCGATGATGACTATTTGCAGCTCATAATTTATCCACATTTGATTAAAAGGATACGTCTAAGGATAAGCCTCCTTTGAATCATTTGCAGGGCTGGAGTGATGGGTGTGTGGATCACTGACAGACTGATGAAGCTGCTGAGTTAATGCAGGTGGATATTGATAAAGTGCACATGCTTGCGTGCATGGAAGCTTAGTGAGTTTTATGCCTCTCATAGTGGGTGATGGAGTGTACCCAAGCACAAAAGGTTGAGGACAGCTTAACAGGCTATTAATATCCTCCAAAGCTTGAAGTCTGTTAACACCAGTATCTAAAATCCAAGGATATATCATAACATTTTGCGAACATTTCTCATTTATTTAAAAAATGTTGGTCTTCATAGTGATAACCTTGTCATATAAGTAAATCTGTATCATTTAATTTTCAAGCTGAACATTGGCTATGAAAAAATAACACCACTACACTAAAACCTCTGCAAATGGTGTCAAATAAATCCTGGTAAATTGTAATTCAATCTTTTTTTCTTTCTTTTTTTTTTTTTTATCAGGGAGTGAACCATGACTGGTAATTGCTTAAAGCTTTTTAAAAATTTGATTTATGAAAATGTATTTTTGCTCATTTAAATAAACTATAATAAATAAATGATATGTATTTTCAAAATGTCAGAATTTACAGAATTCTAGTGTTTTACAGAAACATCAATAACTCTCAAGAAATGAATAAAAGAGGATATAAAACATGTTTTTACCTTTTGTATTACCTAATAGGTCCCTAGGATCTGCTATAAAAGTTTGTCTCTATACACTGAACACACTTTGTACAAATTTGATATAATTATAAGATATCACTATTTTTGCTCTCACATTTACATGCTATGCTATGAATAGAGCTATGTTCAGTTGCATGTTCAATGACAGCAGAAAATGTCTTGATGCCTCAAGTCAAAGGAGAATGACCAAACTGCTTTGAGCCGTTAGCAAAGCAACAGAAAACTAATGCACAACCTGCTAACCCTTGAACAGCAGCAGAAGAACACACCAGATCCCATTCCTGTCAGAAAAGTGTTGGAGTGTTTACTTACGGAGAACAAGAACTCCATGGCGTAGCGATTGAGCACGGTTGGACTCCACAGTGAAATTCAGCATGGTGGGATTTGCACCAATCATGCAAACACGGTTGTCTTGCTCAGCCTCACGGAACATCCGCAACAGCTGATTGGCTATGACCCCATTCAGAACAGATATGGCCACCATCGGTATGACAAAGGACAGGAATGCATTTACCTGTTCAAAAAGAGAGAAGGCTGTAAACACTGGAGATTAGTGCTGACAGAAAAACTATGTATCTGGTTCACTAAGATAAAATGTATATATGTTATTTAAAAAGCAAACAAACAGAACAAAAACCCCCAAAACAAAACAAAAGCCCAGTGTCCCTCGAGGCTGATGATTGGCCCTCCGCCATAATAGGTTGCAGATTAAAGATGGCTCCCGTGTTTCTTCTGTTTGCATCTATATCTATATAGTATATCTTTGGCCCATCTTTCAGTTTACTTCTTGTTTTATGTCAAGATTACCCGTATGGAAAATATATATATAAATCTTATAAAGTTTAAATCTGTCTTTTGTGAAACTTATATTTATATATATATATATATATATATACAAAATTCAAACACAAGAAAGTCTACAGTTTCACATTTTGATACAGCACAATACCTGAAAGGTGCCACTGTATATGGCAATAATAATAACAACAATAAAATGAATATATTTTAATAATAATAATGCAATAATATTTGTTATACTTTATGTGTTACTAGTGTCAGGATTTCTGTGAGCTAAATGTTATACAGAGGGCTTGTGAGTGTGAATGCGCTGCCTCAAACAGGCAACATGCAACTCTAATAAAAACAGACACATGGAATATGCAAATTGCAGTACAGGCTTGAGGGCTTTAAATGCAACATGTTTTTCTGCCACTGGACAAAAATCCATGATAACCTTTCGGCATGTTGTAATTGAAGCGATCTGAGGGAGAATGGAACTCTTATTCCTCATGGGCTCTGTTTTTCAGGCTTTAGACAGGAGGTCATTCTCAGTTTTTCTTTCTTTTTTTTTTTCAGAGCACACCAGTTAATAGCATAAAAACTATATTAGAAGTAAATTGTGCTGGTTCGATGGATTTAGAATGGACCACAATGAGGCATCTTTAATAGAACAGAATGGAATTGATCTTTATTGTCATTGTTACAAAAACAATTAAATGCAGTTTGGCATCTCTCCGTGTGTGAAGTACACAATATCGTAAGTATTTACACAGACAACAACACAGACAAATTTACATTTACAAAAGAAAGATATGTCCAATTTCTACATTTCTACATTTTGTCACATTACAGCCACAAACATGAATCAATTTTATTGGAATTCCACGTGAAAGACCAATACAAAGTGGTGTACATGTGAGAAGTGGAACGAAAATCATACATGATTCCAAACATTTTTCACAAATAAATAACTGCAAAGTGGGGTGTGCGTAATTATTCAGCCCCCTTTGGTCTGAGTGCAGTCAGTTGTCCATAGACATTGCCTGATGAGTGCTAATGACTAAATGTCAGTACAAATACAGCTGCTCTGTGACGGCCTCAGAGGTTGTCTAAGCAAATATTGGGAGCAACAACACCATGAAGTCCAAAGAACACACCAGACAGGTCAGGGATAAAGTTATTGAGAGTTATTTGAGTTATTGAGAGATAAAGTTATTTTAAAGCAGGCTTAGGCTACAAAAAGATTTCCCAAGCCTTGAACATCCCACGGAGCACTGTTCAAGCCATCATTCAGAAATGGAAGGAGTATGGCACAACTGTAAACCTACCAAGACAAGGCCGTCCACCTAAACTCACAGGCTGAACAAGGAGAGCACTGATCAGAAATGCAGCCAAGAGGCCCATGGCGACTCTGGACGAGCTGCAGATATTTACAGCTCAGGTGGGGGAATCTGTCCATAGGACAACTGTTAGTCGTGCACTGCACAAAGTTGGCTTTTATGGAAGAGTGGCAAGAAGAAAGCCATTGTTAACAGAAAACCATAAGAAGTCCCGTTTGCAGTTTGCCACAAGCCATGTGGGGGACACAGCAAACATGTGGGGGACACAGCAAACATGTGGGGGACACAGCAAACATGTGGAAGAAGGCTCTGGTCAGATGAGACCAAAATGGAACTTTTTGGCCAAAATGCAAAACACTATGTGTGTGAAAACTAACACTGCACATCACTCTGAAAAAACCATCCCCACTGTCAAATATGGTGGTGGCAGCATCATGTTCTGGGGGTGCTTCTCTTCAGCAGGGACAGGGAAGCTGGTCAGAGTTGATGGGAAGATGGATGGAGCCAAATACAGGGCAATCTTGGAAGAAAACGTCTTGGAGTTTGCAAAAGATTTGAGACTGGGGCGGAGGTTCAACTTCCAGCAGGACAACGACCCTAAACTTAAATCCAGGGCAACAATGGAGTGGTTTAAAACAAAACATATCCATGTGTTAGAATGGCCCAGTCAAAGTCCAGATCTAAATCCAATCGAGAATCTGTGGCAAGATCTGAAAACTGCAAACGCTGTCCATCTAATCTGACTGAGCTGGAGCTGTTTTGCAAAGAAGAATGGGCAAGAATTTCAGTCGCTAGATGTGCAAAGCTGGTAGAGACATACCCTAAAAGACTGGCAGCTGTAATTGCAGCAAAGGTGGTTTTACAAAGTATTGACTCAGGGGGCTGAATAATTACGCACACCCCACTTTGCAGTTATTTATTTGAAAAAAGTGTTTCAAATCATGTCTGATTTTCGTTCCACTTCTCACGTGTGCACCACTTTGTATTGGTCTTTCATGTGGAATTCCAATAAAATTGATTGGGGAGGGAGTGTCCAGGGTGTGAGGGGTCTTTGATGATGATGCTGGCTTTCTGCTGAAGTCTGCCAGTATAAATGTCTCTGAGGGAGGTTAGTGAGGTGCCAATTGCCCGCTCTGCTGCCTTCACCACCTGCTGCAGTTTCCTCTTGTCCTCCGCGGTGCAGCAGTTGAACCAGAGTGTGCAGCAGTAAGTCAGAAGGCTCTGGTAGTGGAACGGAAGCAGTTTCTTGCCTCAGGCCCAGTACAGTCTTTGATGTGCTTTCCCTACCTGGTGGGAAATGTTTGTTGACCAGGTAAGGTTCGCCGAAATGTGGACTCTCGGCCGCTTTCTACCCTTTCTACCTCCTTAAAGCTTTCTACCCTTTTGTACATCCTCCCCATCAATGTAGAGGGTGGAGTGCTTAGATCGCTTTGTTCTCTATAGTATATTATACGTATATTACACTTGTGTTGTGTGTATTTCTTTATTCATTAATATTTCAGTTTTCTTGCTCTAGACCACTGCAACATGTGAAATGGTGGAGCCAGTCCTTAGCTTTGGTAGACTACATTTGAAGATGAACAGGTGCTATGAAAAAAAGCTTGGATGAGATATTTGAGACGCATTATTCATATTTTTGAGATGGCTCTGTGACACAGAGTGGGCTCTATATACCCTGATGGCTGACGACTGAAGTGAAGTTGCTGGAAATTTTGCACAAATCAAGCCGAACAGGCTTTCCTTAAAAAAAAACTTTTATCAGATTCATTTTCAGCTGGCCTTAAGCAGATTCCAGTGGTGTGATTTCATTACAGATAAAAACCCTCACTTCACAGATTAGAAAATCTTTAGGGGTGAGGAGAAAGATTCAGAATTCTATCACATTAGGTTATGTATTTTCTGCTGCAAGCACTAGTATATGCTGAACTGGAAACTACAACACAGATTATATGTGAATCACTGGATAAGACTAGGTTGAAACTCATCCACTGGAGTTAGCGGAGTTACTCAGTGAGTCAGCTGTCGCCAGCAGGTAACTGCTATTCTTCATCCAGTAACTGGAGTTACTGAACTTGGTCTTTTGACTGTGTTTGTGCTCTTTTGTGGCTTTTGGAACATTTTTATTGCACTAGCAAAGTACATGGCCCACTGTTGTGCCACAGACAGAAATTTAGTGCTTGGGCTAGAGTTAATAACATCATATTATAGTATTAGTATGATACCTACTGCTTTGTTACTTTGTTGCCCTGCACATACATGCTTTGTTACTAGCAGGTATTTGTAGGGCATACTTTGGTCTTTACTTACGGTGTTATCCCAGACCATTTGTACTTAAATTAAATTGCGTTCAGTAACCTTGCAGTGTCTCTTAGAATGATTTTTTTTACTTGTTTTTATTATTGATTCTGTTTCGTTGTTGGCTCTGTTCTTTCTTCTCTCTTTCAATTTTCATCTTTCTCTAATGATAACATTTATAAATTCTTTATTTTTGCTCATTCTTTATTAATTCTTTTAGTGCACATTATCTTGTAATTATAGACCAGGTCTCTCCTTACAAAACCACTTATCACTATTTTGTTTCTAGCTCACTCTGACGCTCCCGTCAGAAAGCATTATGGACAACCACTGGTTTGATTGTCCATAGAAAATATTTTAAAGAATCTTTCCATTCTCATAATGAGGCAGTGAAAGAATACAGATGTTCTTATTTCACTAATCTCATAAATTGTAACAGGAAAAAACTAGGCTATTATTTGAGCCTATTAACAGCATTGTTTTCTCCCCACCTGAGCAGGCTGTCATACTCTGTGATGATGGCTGTAATACATTCCTTAATCAGTTCGTTAATAAGGTGATGGACTTGAGATCTAAAAGTTCCTCCCCTTATGAAGAGGGCCCTCAGCATCCTGAGTCAATTACCTTATTAGCTCCAATTCCACTAAATGACTTCACTACAATAATGGGTAAAATTAAGCCTTCATCTTTCTCATTAGAGAACAATTTGGAAGTCTTATAGTACAAGCATTTGGCCTTCATTGCTAACAATTATTAACAGTTCAGCTGTGTTCCTTTCGTACTGTACGCATGCTGAGGTAACTCCTATACTTAAAAAAAACTTCATGCCATCTTTTTTGGTAATTATTGGTCTTTAAATTAAATTGCCATTTATCAGCAAATTATTAGAAACAGTTGTGGAAAGATCCTTATTATTTTGATTACAGATCTCTGAATGTATTTCTGCTGCAGAGGCAAACGGCACAGAAAGAGTCTGTTTGGCGATATCTGTTAAGCTGTTTGCAAAAAAAATGCATCTACTTGTTTAAGACACATTCACCATTGGAAAGGGATGTAAAAAAGGTTTAGGTGGTTCATGGGATGTTCAGTACTAAGCAAA